ACCTGAACTACCACTTGGGGCCAAAGAGGGATGTGTGAGCTGCTGCCTAGGCAGCTGTGAGAACTGCTCCCACAAAAATAGAACACCTGACACTGCCCTTCTGGAAGGTTGTGATTCTATCCTATATCCTTCTGAGCACATGTGTCAAATATGGCCATCTGAATGTTTAATTGAACCTAGGAAGTCCTGTCCCCTGAGCAAGGCTGTGGATGGTTTAAAGAACATCAAAGTATTTTTACTGTAGTGGAGAGGTACATCAATGGAAGTGGCAAATCTAGGATGTGAGAGACAGATTTTAGCCAAATCATAAAAAATTTAAATGTCAGATTGAGGAAAATAGATTGTAATCTAAGTTTTGGAGGAGAATAGAACCCTGACAAATTTTGAGGGGAGAGTTAACATGATCAAATTCCTTTTTGTTTTGTTTGTTTGTTTGTTTGTTGGTGAGGAAGACTGTCCCTGAGCTAACATCTGTGCCAATCTTCCTCTATTTTGCATGTGGGTCACTGTCACAGCATGGTTAACAAGTGGTGTAGGTCCGTGCCTGGGATCCAAACCCGTGAACCCTGGACCACCAAAGCAGAGTGTGTGAACTTAACCTCTACACCACCAGGCTGACCCTTAAATTCCTTTTTTACTCATCATATCAGAAGAGTAATCTAGTCCACAACACATGTCGGAAGGAAGGCCAGAGATCAGCTCAGTCAAAGGCGATGGAGGACGGATCTAGAAGGCTGAAGGACTGATAACAGAGGACTAATGAGGAAGGTGTTTCTGAGACAGCCTGCCAAGAGCAGAGCAGGAGCCTGAACTCCAGGGTGGCTGTGTGCCCTTGTGTGACCTCTAGTGCAGAGATCTGATTTGTAATGCATTGAGATTTACTTCAAGGTTTCCTGCCTGACCCCCCCAGTCATGATGGAGCTCAAGTTTAAGTTGCCATAACTTAATTTCTAAAGGCCACTAGAGATTCTCTAAGAAAAAGTACAAGTACATTGAGACAGTTATAACAGTGATAAGAAAAAAGAAGAAGTGCTTGTTTTTTCAATAAAACATCCATCTTTTCTCCCTCGGGATTTAAAAAAAGAAAAAAAACTGACTTTTACACTAAAAAGTAAAGTTGAGAAAATAATTTTCCAATATTTCTTTTCCTAAATTATCTGACAGCATTTTCCACAAGGACTATTATTGATTATACACACACAGAGACATACACAAACACTGAACTGTCTTTTCCATCTTTTATTCCTTCTTGGAACATCCCTTTTCATCTCTTTTAGCTCTGTTTTTTCCACTTTGTTTTCTTTATATGTTACATAGTCTGCTTCTCTATCTTTCTTCTCCACTGACAAGCTCCCCTTTTTCTTACTTGCACTCCCAGGATTTGAATGATTTTCTAAAATGGAGCAATATTCACCTCTCCAGATAAATATATATAGAGAGAGACATCTTTAATCTTTAGAACTGAAAGACTCAAATTATAGGAAATGCCCTTGAAGTGTTAGGAATGATGGCACAGTTTTTCCAGGTTTTCTGTAAATATATGCCATAAAATGAAAAGAGAACGAAAGAAAACATTCACTTAGTAGTATTATCTTGCTTCTAAATTCCTTGAAGTGTCTCTGGTCTTGTCTCGAATGTTTTTTCCTTCTACATCCTCATATGTTGGGATAAGCAAAATGTACCTACAAGTATCTTGTGGACCTGAAACCCTTTTGGTTACTGGAACAACAACAACAAAATCTCTTCTGCTAAAGCACAGAAATTCTTTCTCCCAGATAAACCAGTAGTCAAAATGCAGAGCGCATTTTCAAACTTGTCCTTTCTCAGAAGGATGAGCCCAATAAGCATGAAGAAAATAGAGGTGCAGCACATTAACCCAAACAAAGTAGCTAACTAGACCGTGCTCCTAATCATAAGTGTTAAAAGGGTTTCCTCCAGCCAAACGCTAAAGGATAGCTTCCTGCTTTCTATGAAAAAAAAAATTTTTAAGACATTTTTTCTTCCTTTTGTCTCTTCAGGAAATCAACTTCTAATAATAACTTCTAATAATAGGTCATGTGTGTACCTAGAAGAGATGCTATTTCCCCCAGGTGGTAAAACTACTGAAGGCTTTGCTAACTGTAAGGTTTTTAAAACAATTCTCATCCGGAATAAAAAGTGGTATGATTTTTTGCTCTTGAGAACAATCGTCTCTCTCCTAGGGTTAGCAAGCTGTGAAGAATCCTGAGACCCAAGTCAAAGAGACTATAGAAGAAGAAGCTGTGAAATTTTCAAAGAAAAAATACATAAGTGACTCAAGAAGCTTAACTACTTGGAGTGTCTGTGAGTCTGAATTTCAGAGTTAACGAAACAGTCCTGGGGGTGTTTGAAGATGTGTGATATCTCAAATCAAGAGCGTCTAAGTAGCTAAAATGGCAAAGTGCAACAAATGTATATACGTCATCTAACTAGTAAAATGTACCGGCATTTCAGGGTGGTGTGTAAAGGGGAAACTAGAGGGCTGCAGACTTTGTTGTTGTTTTCATGAGCAGAGAAAATTCATGACATGGATGATACTACGAAGGGTCTCTAACACTTGACAGCTGTGTGAACCTTAGTATGCAATCTAAGCCTCAGTATCCTTCACTGTAAAATGGACCACGTATTAGTTTTCTACTGCTGATGTAAATTACCACAACTTGACTGGCTTAAAACGACACAAATTTATTATCTTACAGTTCTGGAAGTCAGAAAGCTGAAACAGGTCTCACTGGGCTAAAATCAAGTTGTCAGCAGGACTGCATTCCTTCTGGAAGCTCTGGGGGAGAATCCATTTCCTTGCCTTTTCCAGCTTCTAGAGGCTGCCCAGCTTCCTTGGCTCATGTCCCCCTTCTGTCTTCAAAGCTAGCAATGGCCAGTGGAACCTTTCCCACACTGTGTCATTCTAACTCGGACTCACACGCCTCCCTCTTCCACTTATGAGGACCCTTGTGACTGCAGTGGGCCCACCGGGTATTCCAGAATACTCTGCCATCTCAAGGTCAGCTGATTAGCAGCCGTAATTCCATCTGCAGCCTTAATTCCCCTCCTTGCAGCACCGCACATTCACAGGGTCAGGGGATTAGGACACAGGGGCCATTATTCTGCCTACTACAGACCTCGGCAGGTTCTTGTGAGAAATAAATGAAATAACAACATAAGCAAAATGCTTACACAATGCCTATAGAAAGTCCTCAGTTAACATTATTCACATATAAAATTTATAGAGAAGGTAGACATGACTCACTAAACATAACCCAACTAACCACATCCAAGGCAAACAAGGATGTATGTACGGCTGGATTTCTTTAAGGTCCTTAGCTGACCCTTCCTATGTATGCGCATTGCGGTTTGAATCATCCCCATTTACATCTCCTCTATACTCCCGGTTCAGTCGTATTATTGATTGAAAGCATCCTCACATACACTGTCATGAGGTCATTGTTTCCACAGTGACAGAGTTTGCTAAGGGAAACCGCCGACTTGGTAGAGTTAGCACAACCACGCAGTCGCTAAGCAAGCAGGACACGTCTCCAGAGAGAAGTCACAGACGGAACATCAAGTGGCAACCTCTAAAGGGAAGATCCGGAGCTCCACTGCTTTCCATCAGGCTCTCTTCAGCTCTGAGATCTAAATTGCTGCTGATTTTTCATCGTTTAATCACTTTATATGAGTTAAGTGTCCTTGGGAGACGCTGCAGAGGGTAGCACGTATCTTGTCCCCTCGATTCTAAATTAATTTGATCTTCTAACTCCCGCCTACTGTGCCTCCTTGGCTGCTAAAAAAAAATCATCTTAGGATGACTTTTTTTCCTTTTGCACAAATAAAACCTGTACAGTAGAAGCTGTAGTTTTTGGAAAAATTACATTTAATTCCTTTTTCAATTCTCACTGAAATATAAAACTTTGACTACAAGAATTTTTTCACAATAATAATAAAAATATATAAAAGTAACATATGTAGGGATTAATTTGGTTTAACACAAGGACTTTGTCCAACACTATTCAAGACATAAATATACCCCTTCAAAGTGTATCAACTGATGTCTGCAGCACCCTTTTCCCTGGAGACTATGATCATTAATTAAATATATATATATATATATATTTAGAAGAGTTAACTCTCACAGGAAGATAAAAGAATAAATGGGTTAGCTTCTTCAAATCAATACTATAAATTTACCCAATGAATATTAAAATAATAGAGTAAGTGCTTTATTGTAGTTGAAAGGGTCACAATTATTGCCTTTGTTATATAAAAGATTTTTTAAATCTCAACTATCACTAGAACTATTACATATTATTATTCAGTATATTGGTAATCAAATAATAGATCTATGAATTTGATGGCTATGACAAGAAGTCTTGAGAAAAATGTTCTGAGTTTTTATATAAAATAATAAAATATATAAAATGAGAAAATACTATTTATTATATAAACTTCAAAATATTTAACTCTATAATTCCTAAGATATTGTAAATCAACGACTACAAAATAAAAATAAAATGACATGGGAATAAATTTCAGAGCAAGAGTAATGAGAATTATCTCTCTTTTTTCCTTGAAAATTTTCAATGAGAATTCTCCTAGTGAAAGTTAGGTATTAATTAGCTCTCGAAGGGCAGTTAAGACTGACTCTGGGTAGGCACTAGAAGACCTGCCAGAAACCAGGGGCCTGACCACCAGTTAACCATGGGAACTCTCTAAATCTTTGTTTTCTCTCCTCTTTAAAAATATTTGTTATTTGAAGATCTGACAGTTCATAAAGATCCTCATTTTACAAAGTAAAACACTCGAGACCTGGAGAATTGAAAAGGCTCCAGGTGGACGAAGCAGGATCACCACATCTACCTTCTTTCTGTTCCACTGTGCTGTCGACAGGACTCCCAATGTCCCCACCAACCCTTGGGTGCCCCGTTTCTTGTATCTGGGGTAAGTGCCACGGAAAACAGTGACAGGCCCTCAACGTACTCCCCACTCACTTGGTATATTGCGAAGTGGAGGAGGAGGCACGTTGTTTATAGCTATCATATGAGACAAAACGGCTGATGGAAGAGAAGACACAGGCATCTTGATGGCTCAAAGGCAGCTAATCAGAGGCCACTTGGGAGACAAATGATCACTCCTCTCCTTGAGGCGTCATAAAGCAGAACCCTCAAGGTAGCCTCTGATAGGCTGCGTACTACGGAATCTTCGTGTTCACAGTTCTTACACGGTGTGTGTACCCCATTTCCAAGAGTGAAATCTCGTCCAGAAAGAACTGTATCCTAGGCCAGTAGAATTTATGAAGGGGGCCTTGTGAGCTAGAGTAGTAGAAATAAAGAAGAAAATTGTAACCCACAAGGCAGATACAGCAGAATCTACAGAATCTACAGTCTGGGTCAGATGAAAGAATTCATTTCATTGGTCTCCTATAGTCCAGAGCCCTTTTTCTGCCTGTTAAATGTTTACATTGGGCATCAGAGAGCCTTTTTGTAGTAGCAGCAACAGGATATTTATACTGCTCTTCATGGCTACATACATATATATGGTAAAACACCCCTTCTAATTATCTTACACCAATAGGCTCACCCCTACTTATATTTAACCATATTCTGCCAGAGCGTGGCATATGTTTTCATTATTTTCTGCTGCTTCGCAATAATTAAGGCTTGTTGCAATGGCTAGGGTTTAGAGTCCTAATTAATGTATCTTTTGATTCTGTGTAACGTCTCTGAAAGCCTTTAAAAACATTTTCCCGGTGTCATAACCGTAGTGGGCCAGTATACACAAAAGGACTGGGACTGACTCCTGAGTCCGACTAGTAGAGTGGTAACCAGTAATTGACCAGCTTCATCAAGAAAACGTTAATAACCAGAATTGGAAATTTTAGTTGTATTACAAGAGTAACACATTTATCTTGCAATAGATCTTGTTGAACTGCACAACGAACTTACTTCACCATAACTTTTCAGTTGAATGTATTTTCCTGTCCCCAGTTTGATAAACTCTGGACTCATTGTAGACTTAAATTTGTTGAGTCTCATCGTTGCTTTTCATCTTATATTTTTTCTACATTAGCCAGCTACCTTCACCTGCATGGCTCTCACCTCAGAATGATACCTTGCCATCCATCCCTACGGTACCCCATTGGTGGTCCCTACTGCCTTCATTTGACAGACTATCACAAATCCATTCTCTTTCCATTCTCACACTTCAAACTCAAAAAACCAAGAACCTCTCTATAAAAGTTCATTATAGGGCCAGCCCGGATGGCCTAGTGCTTAAAGTTCAGTGCGCTTCACTTTGGCGGCCCACGTCCAGTTCCTGGGCATGGAACCACACCACCTGTCTGTCAGTGGACATGTTGTGGCAGCAGCTCACATTAAAAAAAAAAAAAAAGGAAGATTGGCAATAGATGTTAGCTCAGGGCGAATCTTCCCCCGCAAAAAAAAAAAAAAAAATTTCATTATAAAGTACTCCTGTATTTCATAGATTTTAAACAGATGAGACTATATTAGATGACTTTTTTCCTTTAACAAGTAGTTTTGATCAAAAGAATGTAAAAAAGGAAGTTTTCTAAGGCTCTAAGTTTATACCGATCAATTTCCTCTCCAATTCCAACTCCATCAGTTGTAATTTTTATTTTCTTGTTCTTTTCCCTTCTTTTCTAAATGTTCACTTATTCTTTTTTCTTTTCGGTATTTCATATATAAAAATACCATATACACTGAAAGCTATTAATATCATAGTAATTTCACATCAAACTGGACCTTGCTTGAAAACAATTTTTTTTAGTGTGATAATTTTTTTTTTTACTGATGTCTTAATAGTTTATAACATTGTGAGATTCCGGTTGCACATTGTTGTTTGTCAGTCACCATATACCCCCTTCACCCCTTGTGCCCACCCCCCAACCCCCTTCCCCCTGGTAACCACCATACAGTTCTCTCTGTCCGTGTGTTGGTTTATATTCCACATATGAGTGAAATCATGTGGTGTTTGTCTTTCTCTCTCTGGCTTATTTCACTTAACGTAATACCCTCCAGGTCCATCCATGTTGTTGCAAATGGGACGATTTTGTATTTTTTTATGGCTGAGTAGTATTCCATTATATATATATACCACGTTTTCTTTATCCAATCATCAGTGGAGGGACACTTGGGTTGATTCCACTTCTTGGCTATAGTGAATAATGCTGCAGTGAACATAGGGGTGCATAAGCCTCTTTGGATTGTTGATTTCAGGTTCATTGGATAGATTCCCAGGAGTGGGATAGCTGGATCCTCGGGTATTTCCATTTTTAATTTTTTGAGGAATCTCCATACTGTTTTCCATAGAGGCTGCACCAGTTTGCACTCCCACCAGCTGTGTATGAGGGTTCCTGTTTCTCCACATCCTCTCCAACATTTCTTGTTTTTTGTCGTGGTGATTATAGCCATTCTCATGGATATAAGGTGATATCTTAGTGTTTTGATTTGCATTTCCCTGATGATTAGTGATGTTTGAACATCTTTTCATATGTCTATTGGCCATCTGTATATCTTCTTTGGAGAAGTGTCTGTTCATTTCATCTGCCCATTTTTTGATCGGGTTTTTTTTGTTGTTGTTCAGTTGTGTGAGTTCTTTATATATTATGGAGATTAACCCCTTGTTGGATATATGTTTTGCAAATATTTTCTCCCAGCTGGTGGGTTGTCTATTCATTTTGATCCTGGTTTCATTTGTCTTGTAGAAGCTCTTGAATCTGATGAAGTCCCACTTGCTTATCTTTTCTTTAGTCTCCCTTGTCTGAGTAAACATGGCATCCGAAAAGATTCCTTTATGACCCATGTCTAATAGTGTATTGCCTTTATTTTCTTCTAGGAGCGTTATAGTTTCAAGTCTCACCTTCAGGTCTTTGATCCATTTTGAGTTAATTTTTGTGAATGGCGATAGCAGAGGGTCCACTTTCATTCTTTTGCATGTGGCTGTCCAGTTTTCCCAACACCATTTATTGAGGAGACTTTCCTTTCTCCATTGTATGTTCTTAGCTCCTTTGTCGAAGATTAGGTGGCCGTATATGTGTGGTTTTATTTCTGGGCTTTCAATGAAAACAATTTTTTTTTAAAAAAAAAAGGAAAATATGAAAAGTGACAATGCAAGTAAACATTAGGAAACTGCAAAATAAACAACTAAAAAAGCTTACTTTCAGGCCAGCCCCATGGCCTAGTGGTCAAGTTCGGCACACTCCGCTTTGACCCACAAACAAAATAGAGGCAGATGGGCACAGATGCTTGCTCGGGCTGAATCTTCCTCAGCAAAAAAAAAAAAAAAAGCCTACTTAATTTTATCTAAGTCTATATAATCTTGATGATTCTGTGTGAGCATCTGCTAGTGTCTGCTGGTCTCTGTCCAGAGAAAATCCAAGAAGTCACAAATTCAGCTTTCCAAATGTTCTTGATTAGTCCTTCCGATGTATTCTGAATCCTCTTAAAATTAATTCCCAGAACAATAACATAATTGCATGATTTGTCTTTGATGGACAAATGCATGAAATTGTTTGTCAATGCCTGGACATTCCTCATAAGTCTATTCACTTCTCAAACACTTATTTGTAAGATATCTTGGGCAAGTCACTTCATCTGTCTTAGTTTCAAAATCCTAATCTGTACAAGAGAGGTAATGATAACACCTCATACAAACACTATGAACATAAAATTTAAAAATCAATATAAAGGTCCTAGCACAGTTTCTAGACATAGTAATCACTCAATTATCATTTTTACCACTACTACTACTAATATTATTATTGCTGAGGTAAACCTTGAGAAATTCACATGGATTAAAATTTTTTAAATACTTTTTAAATAGTTTTTCTCAAATGTACATTTCATATGGGTTCCACCCATTCCTGCTACCTAGTCAGCAGTAATATATTACAGGTTCACTGTTCAAGATATACCTCAGGTACTCATTCTGTATCACAAAAACTAATAACAATAATAATAATAACCAAATTTACCATGATAATTTTCTATACACTGTTAACATTTCAAATAAATTCCAGAAAGAATTCTTCAATTAAAATTAAAACAATTCAATACATATGTTTATATTTAAAAATATAGTTATCAAAATATTTATATAAGTTAAAGCTGATTAGACACAAAACTCACTTACATAAAATAAAATGTTACATATTATATCATTGGCCAATCTGTCCTTTGAAAGCGCAGTCTATAAATTACATGCACACATGCCTGTAATAACTGCAAAACAAAGTAAATTATTTATAGATAAACACATTTATATATAGCCAGCCCTGGTGTCTAGTGGTTAAGGTTCAGTGCACTCACTGCTGCGGCCTGTGTTGATTTCCGCAAGGTCAGGGAACCACACCACCCATCTGTCGGTTGTCATACTGTGGCTGCTGCGTGTTGCTGTGATGCTGAAAGCTATGCCACTGGGATTTCAAATACCAGCAGGGTCACCCATGGTGGACAGGTTTCGGTGGAGCTTCCAGACAGACAGACTAGGAAGAAGGACCTGGCCACACACTTCCGAAAAAATTGGCCATGAAAACCCTGTGAACAGCAGCGGAGCATTGTCTGATATAGTGCTGGAAGGTGAGAGGATGGCGCAGAAAGACCGGGCAGGGTTCCACTCTGCTGTACACAGGGTCCCTGGGAGTCAGAATTGACTTGACGACACTAACAAAAACAAACGTTTGTATGTGTGCATATTTGCTCATATGAATGGTTAAAAATAGTTTCCAAATTAACTAGAATGTATATAATCTGTATATAATTTTACCCTGATTAATAAAGTACTATATTTACTTAGTTATCTATTTATACATGTGGAAATGCATGGAAATGAAACATGGTCATTTGTACACCTACTTCAATTTATGTCAAATTTGCTAATAGAAAAAACACACAGTACAAAAATATTGTCATTATCTTCTGACTTAAATCCTTTTGTTTCATTTATTTTAAATTGCTCTGAGGTGTAAGTTTGATGTCCTCCAAAATGTTGTTTTATTGTGAGATTAATTTATAAGCAATTTAAATTCCAACTTATCAATACATTATTGAAGAAATATATGT